AGGAGCTATCCCCTGTGCTGCCCGGCGCCGCAATAAAGAATACCTGCTTAATAACACTGAGTTGTTATTGAGTTTTCTCAGATTCATATATATAAAATATACAAATTTAAAACAAGTTGGTTTTGGTGCCTTTATTTTTTTATTTTTTTAATTTTTTTTTTTAGAAAAAAAGCTAAATGGTGGATTTTTTGTCATTAATAATTTTATAGATTCATTTTGCTGTTGTTCCCTGAGGCAATGTTAGGTGGAAGTCTTTCCCTTTCCTAGCGTTCAGCTGTGGTAGGCTAAATAGAGGGGAAAATGTCTGCTGAGCTATGTGACTGCAGTGAAAGTAAAAAGGCTGCCTGGTTTATTATGCTGAACATCTTAAGATGCCTCTTTCTTTTGCTTGGTTGACTGAAAATAAGATTTTCTGTAGTCTGTAATACACTTTTACAATGTATACTTGTAAGAAAAAAAAAAATAAAAATTATGTTGTCTGTTTCATTCTCCCCAAGAAAGGGAGTTCCGTGCTCCATCTTTGGGATCTTTGGAAAATTGCATGAAGCTTTCCCAGATGACTGTCCAGGGACTTCAACAGTTCAAGTCTCCCCTTTTGCAGCTGCCTCACATTGAAGAGGACAATCTTAGGCGAGTCTCCAATCATAAAAAGGTATAAAACTACAGATGATACTTGGTAATGTCTCGATTAGGAGGTGGGAATTAAGATCAGAGATCTGATAAGTGTGAAAGAGTGTAAAAGATCAGTCTATGTTGATCTGACAAACAGAAGAAACAGAGTTTCTTCTTATTACAGACTATTATCTCCTACTTAATATTTTTCCAGAATGTGGCTGGAATATCCTACTGGGACTTTTTTTTTGATCTTGTTTGGTTGTACATCATTTGCAATTTAGTTTGATAGAAAATATATTTGGAAGGTAGCATAGAAGGGAAAAACGGAGTTCATAAAAGGAAAAGAATTACCAGTTACTGTGGGAAATATTTCAGGTTCTGTGATCCTTTATATATGAAAGGATGTTTTGTAACACTCTTGCTATGTAGTTGTAGTTGGTTAAGTGTTGGTATTTGTAGAATTTAAGGACAAAAAAAAGTCTTGTCTGAATACCTGCATATGTTTCTTCACTCTGTTTTGCTCATTGTCTCTGTATTCAAACCTGCTTGTTTGTTTGACTATAGTGTATCTTCTAGGAATGCCTGGTTAGAAGCAAGCATGTTCTAGAATACTGACAAACTAAATTTGTTCTACAAGTTATGTTCTAGTAGAAGCTGTTGACTTTTCTGATGGTCTTATTACAATGGTTAATTTGGATCAATCTTAAAAATACCTTTTTATCTAACGGAAGTTTTGTTTAGCTTTAACTACAGCCTTTGGTGTTGTATAAATGCTTCTGTGTTAGTGTGAAGATAAGGAATTCTTTAACTACTGCACTCTTTAATCCCCTTTGAAAATGCTTGTTCATCACATAGTCAAGTAGTCTTTTCCTTTGGATGAAGTAAAAGAATCATTCCCTTATAAGTACCATCAAACACTTACTTTTCTTAATCCAGCCCTAAACTACAGGAAGCAATTTTAGATATATTTTTTTTTAACGTGTACACTGTAACTAAGCATAAAAATAAAGAATTGGCTACCTTGTAGTCCTACCTGTCCTTCCCCTGAAAGAGGGAAGAGACCAGTTTATTAGGCTTGTTTGTACAGGATTTCCCATGCATTGAGGTCTTCAAAAATACAGTCCCCTAGATTGGAGGTATGATTGGTCTACCTGAATGCATGAAGTTCTTTTTAATAAAATAGGTACGTTCATAATGATGAGTTTAATCAAGTGTTCAGACAAATCTCTGTTTTATCCTTTTAGCTCTACAAATCTTAAAAGAAGTGGGTTTAGATTTGTTTTCAGTTAAGTATGAAGGAAAAAAGAAAGAGTAACTTGTACTTAGTTGTTCCTGCTAATATAAGTCTCAAAGCACTAAAGCGCTCTTTCTAAATGAAGAACCCAATTACTAAGATTTCTTGGCTCAGCTTTCTGGAAAATCTGGCTGAAACAATAGTTTTATAAGAAATACATCCAGTTTCTAAGGGGTGATGTACTAAGCAACACATCAGTGTTCAAAGCCACGCTATCTAGTAGTTTTGAATGCAGCCTCTTCATTTTCTTGTTCCCAAATGCTTGCTAGGTTCCCAAAGTATGGGTTTTTTTTGTTTAATAAGAACAAATCAAATGGTGTGTATGTATTAATAATGGGGGGACACAATCGATATATTTGTGGACTGCATTCTCTGGTACTGTGTGACTTCCTTTTTTCTTTTTCTTTTTTTTTTTTTTTAAATTTAGTATAAAATCAAAAGTATTCAGGATTTGGTGAGTTTGAAAGGTTCTGATCGTCGCAATTTACTGCACTTTCTAGAAGATAAGAAATATGATGAAGTTATGGCTGTCCTTGGCAGCTTTCCCTATGTCACTATGGATATAAAACCACAGGGTGAGTGGGAGGTCCTTTTGTTCTGTATGTGTCACTCTTCTGACATGTTGATAGTCTATTGGCAGTAAGCTTTTGGAGGATGTTGAAACACAGCTTACTGTTATTTATGTGGCCTGGAAACGACATACTTTTTTGAGTGGCGGGCTCTTGTATGTGAGATTTATAGTCTGAGGATATAAAGTACATTGAAACATTTCACAGATTCCCAAGCCAGCAGTAGATTGTCCTACAGGAGCTTATCTGATATTTCATCTGTTGATTTAATATTTCATGAGCAATGTGGAATTCTGGTTGAAATACCACTTTTATTAGCTATCTTAAAAAATTGTGCTTATTCCAGAATTTATGCTCAGCTTACTCCAGCATGGAGGGTCCTTTGTGAGATTTTGAGTTGGAGACCCTGATCAGTAAATATTCATGATTCCTTTGTGATAACCCTTGTGTAGTTTTTATATCTGGAGAATTTGTCCGTGCTAGGCTTAGTTACCTTTTGTGTGCACTGTTTCAATGAATGTATAATGTTCTTCCTCTCTGAAGATCAGGTATATTGTTAAGCAGTTCCTGTTAGACAGCCTTTCAGGCGAAAGTGATTTGTTTTTGTGGTCTCCTTTCCTGTGCTAGTAAATGTGAGATATTTGAAGGTTGTTCTAAAACTAGTTTCTAATTTGTATTTCTAATTTATATAGTCACTGTAGTTGCAATGATCAAATTCAGAATGCGATGTGTTTTGTTTGGGTAGCCTAATTTGTAATTTGGCTTATGCATAGTTCTCTGTGAGAAACAAATGTTAATGGAAATACCTGTTAAGGAAGCCATTGTCTGATAATCTTGGTATTTCTAGGTGTTGTTTATGTGTGTGTTTTAAAAACAAACAAACAAAATACTTTCTCTTATTGTAGCACAGGATTGTACACAATCCTGTAAATCTGCTTAAAATTCAGTCTTGGAGTACCTTCCCATATTTTGGCAAGCATCCCTTTTTCTGCCCATAGTCTTCATTTGTGTCACAACTGTACTCAGGCATGGTACGGAGGTTTAAACAATGCGTATGCTTTTCTGTTTAGCTCAGTATTACCGTTATATAACAGACACATGTAAAACTAGTGAATAGTAAAACTGCTTTCTGGGGGGGGAAGGGAGGAATAAAGTTTCTATGCTGGAATATAACTCTATTCCTCCCCAACCTGGGACATTCTCCAGTTCATAGACTGGAGATATAAACTCCTCAGTGGCTTTCCTATGGGTTTTATATTTGATGTTTTAGTTAAAATGATAATTATTGTTGTTTTATTTTCCTTTGCCTTCTATTTTTTTTTTTTAAAAAAAAAGAAAAAAAAAAAGAATTAAATGTGTGATAGTTAACGTGGCACTGAAATTGAGTTGTTAATCATATGAAAGTCAGGAAAATCAAAGTTATGATTCCCAGAACAAATATAACAGAGTCCCTTTGGTCATGTGTGGTATTTCATGTTTCTGAAGTTTTATGCTTTAGTATATAATGCACGGTATTACAGAGTTATGGTTCCCACAGCAGCTATAACTTTGAATTTTCTAACTTTCATGCAATTAAAATTTCAAACTCAATGTTGGTGTTTTATAGTTTGCTGAATTACCAGCCCTCATCCTGATAGTATATTTGAGGTTGTAAGAGACTTATTTAATAATACTTTGAAATTATTTTTTGTTAAAAATTCTGCAATTTGTATGTTTGTCTTGAGACTTAGCAGAAATAATGCTTAATGGGGGAAAAAAAAAAAGCTTTAAAGACACTTAATAGGTGTTGCTTTTCTTTTTACACTAGTTTTGGATGATGAAGACAGCAACAATATTACAGTAGGTTCTCTTGTCACTGTTTTGGTTACACTAACCAGACAGACCATGGCAGTAAGTATTAAGAATATTTGTTCTTTCAGAGTAACTGCAAGTATATGCTAATAATCAGGCATTTCTTTTTTGCAAGCTAGTGTAGTATTTTGTAAATATAACTGTAAAATTAAGATTTGAAATTGAGAACTTGTGCTTTTAATCCTCCCTTATGTTTTTGTTTCTGGATAAGAAAGTTTTCCTGGAATCAAACCAAAGTTCACTCTGACCCGTTGCAGTTGTCAAGGGAACAGTAAAAGAATATGGCAAGTGATACTGCCCTGAGGTTTGTAAATAACAGGAAGAGAGACACTCAGAAACTTAGTTCTGGAACTAGGATAAAGTATTCACTCAAGTCCTTAGGGTGGTGTTTGATTTCACTCTCTGGGCTTATAATGTTACAAATCTCTTGGATGTTTTAGACAATATTATGAAAGAAAATCAGTCCAGCAGAATGCAGAATATGCATAACAGTATAAAGGGGATGTACCAGTGCCATGTGAAGAAAGTGGCTTGCTGAATGGGTAGCAATGTGGCGTAATCAAAATAATAAAAATTTTTGCGTTTGTACTATTCAGATAATTGTCTAAGTAAACAGAAAGTCAAAGTAAACAGAAAGTCTGAGTTAATGCCTCTAAGGTAAGGCATACAGGCGTGAGTATTACAGTAGACAATCAGACTAGCCATTGAAGCCAGTTCAGCAGTCCGCATGTGCAGGTACCACGTGTTCATGCTATGGAATTTCAGAATGCATCATCTCAGTGGTCACTGAGGATGCAGTAGGTAGAAAGTAAAAGGACTGTATCCCTATGCTGGATTTTAAAAATGAAGGAAACTCAAAATTGTGAGCATATTTAACTGTACTTTGAAATTAATTACAATGTCTGACAGCATATAGAAAAGTCACTTAAGGTGTTTTGTACATGAACTTCACTAGGCAGTCTGGCATTGAGATACATAACCTAAAAACTAGAGCTAGCCTTTTATATGCTTTTTTTTGTGGTGGTATCTCATAGTTGCCATCTTTATATAACACAGCTCCTTACGAATGATTTTTTTTTTTAATGGCATATAGTATGTTTTGAAGAAAGAAGTGCATGAAAAAATTCCATTTGCATAGAGATGTTCTAGACTGCATAATACTGACATTGTGTTTTGTCTTAACGTTTCATATTTCTCGTTTGATTTGTTGTCCTGTGTCCCTGAGTAGCAGTGCAGCAGTTGAAGTTTTTAATGCTCTGGCAACTGCAGCAGAATTTACATTTTACTACTGCTTGCTTTTGTGATACAGGATTTCTGTGCTGTATAGAACAAGTAGATTCTTTGGAATAATATGATATGTTGTTACTAAATTTCTTTGTAGTGCTGGTGATGGAAAAATCCTAGACCAAATGTTCAAAATAGTGTTTAATTTTGATCTGTTAATCCCCTGTTGTGGTTGTCACTGATAAAAGAATTTTCCGTAGTGAGTAAAACCTTCAGACTTGATTAAGGTGATTTAGTTTAAGTTCAAGTATAAACCAATAATTTACTCTTTTGGTACAAAGAGGCATTAATAGTTGTTACGTCTTTCTCTAACCAGGAAGTGTTTGAAAAGGAGCAGTCTATATGTGCGGCAGAAGAGCAACCAACAGAAGATGGGGTAAGTGAAGAATGAATGTTCCTCTTGCTAGCTAGAGAGAACTTTCTTTCAGATCTTGAGTTGCTAATTGTGTGCTTCTCAAGCATTTTTTTTGTTCCAGAAATGCCTACTGAAGTGTCTCTTGAGCTATGCTTTCTAACTTTGGTTCTCAGCATAAAATGCTTAAAGTACAGTGAATGCCTGAAACTTAATGCACAGAATAAATATTGTAAATACTGCTTTTCTACAGCAAGGAGATGTCAACAAAGTTAAGAGCAAAGGATGGCAGCAAAAGAATAAAGGAACCAAGAAAGCTTCAAAATCAAAGAAAAAGAAGCCATTGAAAAAGAAAACTGTGCCACCTTCATTGCAGCCACCGAAACAGCCGAAGCAAAAACAAGCTAATGGGGTAGCTCATAGATTCATTGATATTTTAGGGTTGTTTTTCAGTTTATCACTCCTAGTCTGATGGGGGTTTTTTGTATCTTTCTGTTACATTTCATTCTATGCTTTTGTAAAGCATATCTCCTAAAATAGCCTTTTTTTCTTTACATTTGAAAATTACTGGTAAAATAATTTGGGAACTACTGCAGTAATATATCCAGTGGCCTGCTGAAAGTTGTGCCAAACTACTTCAGAAATCTGGCTTCATAGTCCCTTCTTATTAGTTCTGTTATTCTGCCTTCTGGGAGGTGAATTATTCTGTATTTTCTACTTTTCCTTTAAAGGAAAAAACTGAAATGAGACTTTCTTCTGGTAAATTAAGTAGCTCTAGTACCTTTGTGTTCCCACTGCATGGCGATTTCTCCACCTCATGGGCTATGTTGTAGGTACTTTATTATATTCTCTCTAATTTTCTTAGCATTTTTGAAATGCAGCCCCAGAATCAAATACTGTTTTCAGAATCCAATACCTATTTGTGTTGCGGATGCCATATGGAGAAGGGAAGTTGCTTCCCTGCACCTCCTAGCGCATGAGGTGACTGCAGACGTACTCTGTGATGCAAGAGTGTAGAGCAAAATAGGAAATAAGGGCTATGATCCGAAGACAGGTGCTGTGAGTGATGCATACTACAATAATGCAAACAAAGTCAGAAGTTTTTGTTGTGTGGGGTTTTTTTCCTTTCCCATTAGGAAGTAGTTGCGAAGGAAGAAGAGGAGGAGATCTCTGATAAAGGAAGTGAATCTGAAGAAGAAGAAACAAACAGGGACTCTCAAAGTGAAAAAGATGATGGAAGTGACAGAGACTCTGACAGAGAACAAGATGAGAAGCAAAACAAAGATGATGAAGCTGTAAGCCTTACTTTCTGTTGAAGGGTAGTGTTGCCTCTGGGGTTGAGAGAAAATGCCTTTTAATCCTCTAGCATCCCCTCTGGCTAGGCAACACTAGCTTGAAGGAGGAATATCAGTTCTCCAGAGGTTTTCAGGCCTCATTCTGGCGTAAGAGCTTTGTCATTGCATGTTTTGTTTCAGTGAGAGCAGTGAAGGGTCTTTGCAGCATAGACAGAAAACTTGAAAATGACATGAGGAAAAATAGCTTAACTTCAGGGTAAGATTGTAATGTTTCTTTTGGCTTAATTTGATTACTAGCTGTTGCAGATATTTGTGAGATAAAGTCTTTGCTTTGAACTCTGTTCTTTACATGCAGTAGCTGTTGCATACTGCATAATGCATACTATAAGTCTACAGTAGTTGGACTTGTAGATGTGCTTACTAAACTCTAGTAACTGTTAATTGTTAAGTTAGTTCTTTGAAACTGTAATTGAGAATGAGGCTTTGTGGTGGTAGATGATTTCTGCACCACAGGTCTTACAGTGGAACACTTGAGAGTGACAGCTGGAAGTCCTGCACAGGATGAGAATAAGTTTTTGATGGGAAAAGAATCATCAAGCTTGTAATTGGGACTCTTACCGCTCAGGTAGTGAGCGTTTACAGGCAGTGCTCTAGAAGTGAGTTATGAAGAATGTGTGCAAGCCCCACAGATCTGTGGTTTGGTTTGTGGGTTGTTTTTTTTATATATTTACAGGAATGGTCTACTGTTGCTTGATTTCTTTAATATTTTTTTTTGCTTTTAGTCATACTGTATAACTTAATCTCTACGTGCCTTTCCCTTTTATAATGTGTAGTGTAGCACAAGAACTTGTCATATTTACCATTTCCATGGACTAAAATTTCTTCTTTTTTTTAAATGCAAAAGGTGGCTAGTGTACAGTAACTTTAAACTTGTCTTTGACAGGAGTGGCAAGAATTACAGCAAAGTATACAGAGAAAGGAACGAGCTCTTCTTGAAACGAAGTCAAAGATAACGCATCCCGTTTACAGTCTTTTTTTTCCTGAGGTCAGTAGTAGAAAACATTACAGTTGTGAAACATAAGAATTAATATAATACAAATTAATTGCTCTTTTTATGTTTTTACTGTAAATACTAGGCTTTTAACAGTCTAATACTTGAAAAAAATGCTAATCTTCATTTAAAAAGGTCTTAACTTATAAAATCCTCTTAAACTCCTTCAGATACTTTCCTAAAAACAGTTAATATATTATTCTTTATATCCGGTTCCCAAAGAGTTGCAAACTTGTATAGAATGTAAGGTTCTTTTTTTATGGCAATAATGCTAAAGTTAGTTTTTTTTTTTTCCCTGCTGATCTGCTACATATGGATCGAGTCAGAATGAAACCTTTCAGAGATAGAGAGATTTAATTTATAGTCCTCCTCTTATCTTTTTTTTTTTTGTGCCGTGGAATGTGAAAGCATGGCAGTGACTCTAATACGGTGTTGAGGGCAGAATATTACTTGTTCTTTAACTGCAAGCACCTGTGAGCAGGGGAGGTCCTGACCCCTCCTGTGTTGACAGTAATGACAGGAAGAGTTTGGGGGTCATTTGGATCAGCAGGTTGTTCTGGCTTGCTGCTTGACTTCCAAGTCTCAATGCGACAACATGGTGGCAACACAGTGTGCAGCCGTGGAAGGTGGAGAGGGTTGGCAAAGCTGTCCCTTTCTACCGCAGTGTAGTCTGGAAGTGACGGAAGCCAATTGTGGAAAAATCTTTCTTACAAAGCTCAAAAATACAGGATCAGATGTGGATGGGTAACGGAGAAAGGGCTGTATTTGAGAGCGGTGACTCAGTGTAGTAGGTAGGCTGAGGTGTCTACAGCAGCCTTCAGTGTTGAAAGTCTGTTCTAATACATCAGTTGCTACTTACACAGACAGCTAACTACTCAATGGTTGTCTGAAAACCCATTACAGCAATGAAACCTTGAAAAAAGGTGGGATTTTTCGAGCATGGGGTTTGTGTTCTGAGCGAGTAAGTTAGGTCTTTGGGAGGTGACCAGATTTGAACCAGGAGGAAGGAGTATTTGGCCACACTTTCTTTCCAGGCCAGTGGTTCAAATGGTTTCCTTTGCTTCCCTGCTGTCTGACTAGGGAACTTATCTATGATCTCTTCTCTCTCTTCGTGCTATCTCCCATAACAGGGAGGCGGGATGCAAGGCTTAGACTTCCCCTTGTGGTTTAAAGGAGAAAACTGAGATGGGGAAGAACAGGAAAACATGAGAAAAAAGGAAGACAGTGTGTTTATTTGCTCCCTCTTTTTAGTCCCCAAGGCTCTTTGTCTATACCCTGTACAGCTTGTTGCTTGTGCACTCCGTTGTACCCGTGCTTATGATCATACTGTTCCTGTTAGTTTTTACCTAGTTCTGCCATCATTAGAAAGCAAAGTGTGGGAAGCAAGACCTGTTGCTAAGGAGCCGGTCAGGATACACAAATAAACCAAAGAAATTGTTTTCCTGAGGGCCTTAGCTGAGAGTTGTGTGGCCTCACATCATCTAGTTTTGTAATGGCTGATCTTAATGCCCTATTTTGCTGACACTGTTAGGTGCCCTCCCATCTCTCAGTACAGCTTCCAGCAGTACACCAACATGGCAGAAAAAGGTATACTGGTATTCTGCTCTTCTGGCTGTCTTAGAACATGTCAAATATGTAGCGGAGTCTTAATACCTCCTTGCTGCAAAGGCAGCTGGCTTTGGTCATCAGTCTAAGCTGAAACAGTGAGCACGTGCAGTGCCACAGGGGTGCTAGCAATAGTTGGCATTCGTATTTCTTTTTTACTGCACTGAGGGTTCCTTTAGAGACTTTGCTTATGCTTACTCTACAAAGCTGCTTAAGCTTCAGCTGTGTGTAACCAAGCTGCTGATGGGTTTTATGGTAAAACCTAAATACAGTACTATTTAAAAAAAAAAATCTGGGGCTGAACTGAATGCTTGAACTTGAAAGATACACATACATTATCTCATAGCATTGTAAATTTTCCAACCTCTCTTCACTGATTTCCTGAAAGTTGAATGCAGCTGTACTTAGTGATGTAGCTGCAGTTGGAGCATGTTCAGATAGAGCTGATCTGCAACATCTGAAGAACAAAATCCGTTGTACTCTCTGGGTGGCTTTTTCATCTGTGATTTAGAGTATTATGTGTATTGTGGTCATGGCCAGTTCAGAGATGGAGAGTTAAGGATGAAAAGCTGTAGTTGTGTGAAACTCTATATTTCCAGAATTTACAGATGTTTGAGTGTAGCTGAGCCTAATATACTTGTTCTCAGGAGGCAGCCTTAGCACTGTTTAACCTAAGCCTTTGGGCAGTTGATTACTCTGCCAGAGATGCATCTTTAATCTATGCAGGTTCCTAAGTAATTATCTTCTGCTCCTGCATCCATGGATCCAGAAACTGCACAGATTGTAGTTTTGACATTTTTAGGTAGAAACTGGCCCTGGTGTTCCAATTTCATGAACATACTGGTTCCCTGGCATGCCAAACCTTGCACCCATCTGTTAAAGGGCATTTTGCCTGCTTGCCTGCTAGCTTGCCAGATTCTCACAGGCATAAACTTTAAATTCCACCCAATAGGAAAGAGGAAAATTACTCCTGCACAGTTGTCCTTTCTATAAAAAAGCAGTGGCACTTCAGGGTCAAGAGCTTTACTTCCAAAGAGTTTACTCTATAGATTTCTTTGAGCATTAGATCAATGAATGTCATTCATCCTGGTATTTCTTTCCTCTCTTGGCTGTTATTTTTACCAGTTTTTGTGAAAATTCAGTTGACAGTTTTGATCTTTGTTCTAAAAAAAAAAAAAATTCCTTGCCATTGAGAGCGATGGAAACAAGCGCAATGTATAGTAAGTCAGCACAGTGTTTTGCTAACATCAAAAATAATGTGTTGATACAAATGCAGAGCCTTCTTTTTATGGTCAGAGTCCTTCTAGGCCCAAAGTGGCGAGTAGCCATTTCTGTAATGGAACTAGTGTCTGTAGCTGTTGTTGTTCATCTGACTATTTATACTGTTTATGCTTCTCTTCCTAGAGGCCTCTTGTCTAGGAAGTAAACACTTCAACTGTCTAAAAATCTTCCTTGCTACGGCTGTCAAGCAGATTGACATATTTATTGTTGAAACTTACAGATAAAATAACTTATGCCTTATAATCATATGGGATGGTTTTTCATAAAGAAAATCACTTGGAATAGCTGTAAAAAGGACGAAGAACTCTACAAATTCTGGTCTTAAATAGTATATGAATAGGTTTTTGTCCTGTTCTTGGTGCCTGTTGTTCTAAATATGCGAAGGAATGCTGTGCTTTACAGTGATGCAGTTGCTGTTACTTTTATACACTGCAAAATGGGTGTTAACATATTGGGTTAATTTTACACTTCTCCGCTCTGGGACTCAACAGTGCTAATCAGGGTGTTTTGGTTGTTGGTGTGGGTGTCTTGCTGTTGTAAATCTGTAGTTTGCTAGTGAAATATTTCGGTAAGATGGTGATAATTGTTACTAGCATAACAATTAGTCACTTCAAAAGAGAAAAGGAGTCAATTTATCTTTTGTAATTTTTCAACCTGCATTGCTTAAATTTCAGATTACCAAACATTGGCTTCTGAAGTGTTTAAAAAAAAAACAAAAAACCAAAAACAAAACAAAACCAAAACAAACCTAACCACACAACCAAACAAAAAAGCCCAACAACACACCAGAACTACTGAACTGTTGACTCTTTCAGTAGAGACAAAAATTCTTCAAATTCTACATATTAACGGTATTTGCTTCCCACCTGTGGAAATTGGAAGGGGCTCAGTGGTGGTGTTAAAGTCCACTGTATCCTTTCTTTCTGTCCTTCTAATGTTAGATTAAAAGAACTGTTTGATTAAAAACAAAACAACCACTGTCACGTGGTACTGAAGCAACTACCTGATCATTGTTGATGTAGATATATAAAAATTGGCTTCCTGGTGTGGAGTTTGACTTGTAACTGTTGTTAAGATGCACTCTTCAGAGCTCCAGTCTGTTACAAATGTGATCAGTTACCAGACCATCAGGGGTGGGTAAAAATTGTTTTGGAATACAGTTGAGCAGTCTTAACATTTGTCTTGTCTAAAAGGTGTGAGTTTTTCCTCATTTTTTCACCTATTGGTAAGATTATACTGTTATGACTATTACCTATCTACTAAAATAGTTCTTCATAAATATGAAGAAGTCTTCCCCCTGCTCTCCCCCCCCCCCCCC